GTATTCTATTCTATTCTATTCTATTCTATTCTACTCCATTCTATTTCTATTTCTATTCCTATTCTATTCTACATTCTTTTCTATTCTATTCTATTCTATTCTATTCTATTCTGTTCNACTTTCTGTTCTATTCTATGGTATTCTATTCTATTCTATTCTATTCTATTCTACTCCATTCTATTTCTATTTCTATTCCTATTCTATTCTACATTCTTTTCTATTCTATTCTATTCTATTCTATTCTATTCTGTTCTGTTCTATTCTATTCTATTACTTATTTTATTCCTTGTTCTGTCCTGTTCTGTTCTGTTCTATTCTATTTCTATTTCTATTCCTATTCTATTCTACATTCTTTTCTATTCTATTCTGTTCTATTCTATTACTTATTTTATTCCTTGTTCTGTTCTGTTCTGTTCTATTCTATTCTACTTTCTGTTCTATTCTATGGTATTCTATGGTATTCTATGGTATTCTATGGTATTCTATTCTATTCTACTTTCTGTTCTATTCTATGCTATTCTATTGTCTATTCCAGTGGTGGCGAACCTATGGGACGGGTGCCAGAGGCGGCACTCGGAGCCCTCTCTGTGGGCACACATACCATTGTCCCAGCCTTGCCTCCCCCTGCGACCCCCTCCTCTCCAGCAGCCCCCCTGGAGGAGAGTCACCCCTGAGCGTGGCCCACGCGGAGCAGCGCAGCCTAGGACATGGCAGCCAGGCAGCGTAGACAAGACTTTGCCCTCACGCCCCAACGCGCACAGTTGATGCTGTGGGGCACGGGCAGAGGGCGTGGCTGCTATGGTGCTGCTGGGCTGCCTGGGTGATCTGCGGCAGGCCCTGGAGGCGGTGAGTGGTCCTGTGGGCAGGCGGGGTGGGGCAGAGCGGGGCCAGTTTTGGGGCACTTGGTCTCTGAAAAGTTCGCCATCATTGGATTCCATTCCATATTTTCTGTTCTGTTCTGTTCCATTCCATTCCATTCTGTTACTACTACTACTACTAGTTGTTGTTGTTGTTGTTATTATTATTATTATTATTATTATTATTATTATTATTTCACGTGGTCTCCTTTTTCAGGACTTGCTAGCTGAACCCTGCCAGGCCCCCAGCTCAGATGCTGGAACCCCCTGATGCCCTTTCCGGAAGGACCTGCAAACGTACCTTGGCATTGATGATCTCAACATGGAGTAGCAGAGAAGCCAGTTCGAGATCCTCACTGTAGCTGTTCTTCAGCGGCACCGACCGGTATCCTGCAGACAAAGATGGAGGGCAGAGTCCTAAATGCATCTCGTTCAAAAACTGGGCAGCAAACGATTTACAGGAAGTCCTTGACTTACAATCACAACTGGTCTACCTGTAGTTCAAGCAGCGCCAAAAACATCTGTTGTTAAGCAAGGCGGTTGTTAAAGTGAGCTTTGCCCCATTGTACGACTTCTCTTGCCACAGTCATTAAGCAAATCGCTGCAGTTGCCAACTGAGTCACACAGTTGTTAAGTGAATCTGGCTTCCCCATTGACTAGGTGTCATGCGTCTGATTAACGAAACACTTAAAAGGACTTTCAGGCATTTTTACTCCTAAAAGCATTTATTAATGTTAAAGATACGTCAGCACAACATGGAGGAAATGCTTAGGACTGGCTTCTTTTCCGCTATGCATATAATTCTAAGCATTTCCCTCCCACCTTTTTTGGGGGTCATGGTTCACATCTTCCAATGAACTTGGAAGTTGTGATTTACTTCTGGTTTCTTTTCTCCTTCTGCCTGGTTTAACTATAAAAATGCCAGATAGCTCTGCATATTGTCAAAGCAAGAATATACAGTATTTGCAGCGTTGACACTAGGCTTGTGAAAAGTTTGCGAAAGGGGAATCACATGACCCCGGGACGCTGCGACCGCCATAAATACGAATCAGTGGCCAAACGTCTGAATTTTAATCACGTCACCAAACGGGGATGCTGCAGCGGTCGTTAAGTGTGAAAAACAGTCCCTTTTTTCAGTGCTGCCGTAACTTCAAACGGCCACTAAATGAACGGTTGTGTCAACGCTGCTAACATCGGATGTTTTTGCATTGACAACAGAGGGAAATGAAGCCATCTTTTCCCTTTTGCTTTTAGAGTTAGATGATGCTGGGGGGGAGGATGTGAACAAGAGTCCAGCTAGACATAACAACACTAAACTTAGTGTGAGAATCAAGGTTATTGTAACTAAAGCTGATAAGAAATTGGGCTGGAAAGCTGGAGAGGAAGCCCACAATTCGAACTAATTGGGGAATGTGATTTATGACTGCTAATTGGAGGAGGGAATTGTGCTTTGATACTAGGTGCCCAGGGGAGGGGAATTCAGTTTTTGGCTTCGATTATGCAGTGCCGATATTATGCTACTCAAAATAAAGATTCTTTAAGGTAAACAATGCCTCGAAGTTCTTTTGAAGAGTTTCATCTGTTGGAACCATGACAGTAAGTGGAGGACTTACAGGTACAGCTAATCCTCGACTTACGACAATTGAGATTCAGATTTCCATTGCTAAGCAAGGCAGTTGTTCAATGAGTCTTTAGCCCATTTTATGACCCTTTTTGTCAAAGTTATTAAGTGAATGTCTAGTTTAATGAAGAGAAGGACGAGGGGGGACAGGATAGCAGCCTTCCAGTATCGCAGGGGCTGCCCCGTCAAGCTATTCTCCAAAGCGCCTGAAGGCAGTAGAAGAAGCAATGGATGGAAATTCATCAAAGAGAGAAGCAACCTAGAACTAAGGAGAAACTTCCTGACAGAACAATTAACCAGTGGAACCACCTGCCTCCAGAAGCGGTGAATGCGCCAACACTGCGAGTTTTTAAGAAGAGACTGGACAGCCATTTGTCCGAAATGGTATAGGGTTTCCTGCCTGAGCAGGGGGTTGGACTAGATGACCTCCAAGGTCCCTTCCATCTGTTATTCTGTTATCTTCCTTCCTTCCTTCCTTCCTCCCTCCCTCTCTCCCCCCCTCCTTCCTTCCTCTCTCCCTCCCTCCTTCCTTCCTTCCTTCCTCCCTCCCTCCTTCCATCTGTTATTCTGTTATATTCCTTCCTTCCTTCCTCCCTCCCTCTCTCCAACACTGGAAGTTTTTAAGAAGAGACTGGACAACCATTTGTCTGAAATGGTATTGGGTTTCCTGCCTGAGCAGGGGGTTGGACTAGATGACCTCCAAGGTCCCTTCCATCTGTTATTCTGTTATCTTCCTTCCTTCTTCCTCCCTCCCTCCTTCCCTCCCTCCCTCCTTCCTTCCTCTCTCCCTCCTTCCTTCCTTCCTTCCTTCCTCTCTCCCTCCTTCCATCTGTTATTCTGTTATATTACTTCCTTCCTTCCTCCCTTCCTCCCTCTCTCCCTCCTTTCTTCCTTCTTTCCTCCCTCCCTCCTTCCATCTGTTATTCTGTTATATTCCTTCCTTCCTTCCTTCCTTCCTCCCTCCCTCCCTCCCTCCCTCTCTCCAACACTGGAAGTTTTTAAGAAGAGATTGGACAGCCCTTTATCTGAAATGGTAATAGGGTTTCCTGCCTGAGCAGGGGGTCAGACTAGATGACCTCCAAGGTCCCTTCCACCTTTATTATTATTATTAAATTGCTGCAGGTGTTAAGTGACTCATGCAGTCACTAAATGAACCTGGCTTCCCCCCACTGACTCTGCTTGTCAGAAGTCGGCTGGGATGGTCGCAGGTTGGGACCCACTGTTGACTTACCAAGGGGAGCAAGCAAATTTTGCAGGGGTCACAATTTGGGAGAATTGAGGGGAGGGGACACAGAGGGGGGCGAGCCGATACCTGTTTTGAGGCTTTTGACGGGGAAGGTCGCCTGGGCCAAGAAGTTGGGGTCGCTGAACATGTCTTCCTCGTACACCACAAAGCGCAGAAACGCAAAGTCGGGGTTGTTGATGTCGAAGACAAACTGCTTGACCAGCCAGACGGGGTTGAGGCCGTTGTCGGCTGAGCGGGAAGGAAGCACAGCGCAGGTCCACGTTAAGTTGCTCGGCGGGTGGGAGACCCCGCTTGGCCGGGGTGGGGTGGGGGGTGACAGATTTACACATTGTGTAAAAGTGGGGCAGGACTGGGACCCGGTTGTCGCACACACACGAGAGCCCGTTTGACAACTTCAACTCTTGCCCATTCTGACGTGGCACATTTTTTAAACAAAATTTACTTAACTCATTTTACATCCCGCTTTCGTTGTTTTTACAAATAACTCAAGACGGCGAGTATATGCAGTGCACCTTCCTTCTCCTATTTTCCCCACAACAACCCTGTGAGGTAGGTTGAGCTGAGAGGGAATGATTTGCTCAAAGTCAACTAGCCGGCTTCCTTGTCTAAGGCGGGACTAGAACTCCCAGTCTCCTCGTGATTGGCCTAAGGTCATCTATCTGGCTTTTATGCCTAAGGCAGAACTAGAACTCACCGTCTCCCAGTGATTGGCCCAAAGTCATCCAGCCAGCTTTCATGCTTAAATTGGGACTAGAACTCACAGTCTCCTGGTGATTGGCCAAAGTCTCCCAGCTGGCTTTCATAGCTAAGACGGGACTAGAACTCTCTGTCTTCTGGTGATTGGCCCAAAGTTATCCAGATGGCTTTCTTGTCTAAGGCAGGACTAGAACTCCCAGTCTCCTGGGGATTGGCCTAAAGTCATTTACTTGGCTTTCATGCCTAAGGCAGAACTAGAACTCACCATCTCCCGGTGATTGGGGCAAACTCACCCAGCAGGTTTTCATGCAATAAGGTGGGACTAGAACTCACCGTCTCCTGGTGGTTGGCCCAAAGTTATCATGATGGCTTTCTTGTCTAAGGCAGCACTAGAACTCACCATCTCCCGGTGATTGGGGCAAACTCACCCAGCAGGTTTTCATGCAATAAGGTGGGACTAGAACTCACCGTCTCCTGGTGGTTGTCCCAAAGTTATCATGATGGCTTTCTTGTCTAAGGCAGCACTAGAACTCACCATCTCCCAGTGATTGGCCCAAAGTCACCTAGCTGGCTTTGATGCCTAAGGCGGGACTAGAACTCACCGTCTCCTGGTGGTTAGCCCAAAGTTATTCTGATTGCTTTCTTGTCTAAGGCGGGATTAGAACTCCCAGTCGCCTGGTGATTGGCCTAAAGTCATTTACCTGGCTTTCATGCCTAAGGCAGAACTAGAACTCACCATCTCCCGGTGATTGGGGCAAAGTCACCCAGCAGGTTTTCATGCAATAAGGCAGGACTAGAACTCACCGTCTCCTGGTGGTTGGCCTAAAGTCATTTAGTTGACTTTCATGCCTAAGGCAGGACTAGAACTCCCAGTCGCCCTGTGATTGGTCTAAAGTCATTTACCTGGCTTTCATGACTAAGGGAGAACTAGAACTCACCATCTCCCGGTGATTGGGCCAAAGTCACCTAGCCGGCTTTTATGCCTAACGTAGGACTAGAATTCACAGTCTCCTAGTTCTTGGACCAACGTTTTGACCACTAGACTAAACTGGCTATCATCATCATCATCATCACCACCTAGTTGGCAGGTTTGGCCCCACCCAACCCGGAGGACTCTCTGAGCTGCAGAAATGGCTCCAGCTGGGACCTCTTCCACCCTCTTGCCTCCAACCCAGCGGCATGATGGGAAGACTACTGGAAGGAAGGAGAGAGACTCCCGCTCTCCTATTTTGGAGACTCCTTGCCTGGGACTCTGTCTAAAGCAGCCTGGGGGACCCTCAGCGATTCTGAATTTGCTCAGTTGATCGAGGGGCATCCAGGTGGTCCCTGATGCACCTGGCCAGGTGTGGCTCCACGAAAGAGAAGGTTTAGGGCCAAAGCAAACCTCCCTCTCCAACATCGGTGAACACACATCTCCTGCCGGTTGAAGCTTTGGCTGTCATTCAGACAAACCTGCAAGACACGACGCAGTCCCGATTTCCTACCTACGACATCCGTCTTGTTTTTGCCGTTGTCGAACTCCGAGCCGCACACCTCCACTTCCACAAAGGGGCAAACGATGCTGCGGCCGTTTTTGGGCAGGTGCCGGGCCCCTAAGATCTGGAGAGAGGAGGAAGAACGGGCTGGGTTAGGCGGGCAAGGCGGGACCCGCAAAAACAAGCGGTGGCCAAGCCAGAGGGCAGGGCGGCATCCCGGGAGGTCCCAGCTGTCTGACCTGCAGCTGGACGGTGATGGGCTCCACGTGCTTCAGGCTGCTCTTGTTGAAAGGCTCAAAGAGATCGTCCCGCATCATGTCCGGCTGCAAGACGTAGCCGCTGCGCCCACCCAGCATGAAGAGCGCCTGGTTCAGCTGCATCGGTTTGTCTGGAAGGAGGGACAAATCGGGAGTCAGAGGACAGAACAGCTGAAGGGGACCCCGGGAGGTCAGAGCAGGGGACAAAGGACCTTTGGAGAACGTAATGGTATGTGTGAAAGGCCTGGGGAGACGGAGGAAAGAGAGGCTGCCTAGGGTAGGGGTCCCCAACCTATGGGCCTGTTGTGATTCCTCGCCAGCCAGGGGACCCAGCAGCTGAGTCAGAGGACTCAGAGGAGGAGGAGGGGCCTGGAGTGACATCAGAGTCAGAAGAAGGCTCTGAGGATCTCCAAGACTTACAGTCGGACGAGGAGCCCAGCCCCTCTACTCGCGCTCAGGCTGAGACACAGCTGTGCTGGGAGCCTGAGTTGGACAGTGATGAAGAACAGCTGGGACAAATCCCGGATGCATGAATGCGCAGGCAAGAGAAGCGAGTAGGACAGAGGAATGCAATGGGGCAGCTCCAAAGGCAAAGGAGAAGGCATTAGGAAGCCATGCCTAGGCTGCATAATAAAAGGGAAGGTCTGGGAGGTGCTGGTGGCCGAAGGCAGCCATTTGTGTTGAGGAATCGAGTGTCTGTGGACTGTGTGTTTGTTTGCCTTGGACATGGACTCAGGTCTGTGAATAATAAAAGGGGGTTGGTTTTTTCCTGTGGTTCCAGCCTGCTTGTTGGAAGAGAAGCTTAACAAGGACTCACGTAGGCTGGGACAGAACAGGGCCGTGGCCCACTACTGGGCCATGGCCTCTTGGCTAGTAGGCCGTGGCAATGGCTGGCCGGTGCACGCACGTGGACGCGCATACTCCCACTCGCGCTCGCAGTCCCGTTTGCATATGCGCACGTGCATGTATGGGGCTGCTAGTGCCGGGCAGCTGTGCGTGGCCCATTCGTGCATGCACGAATGGGGCCGCTAGTGCCGTGCCTGTGCAGCGGCCCCCATTTGTGTCTGCGCGTGTGTGCACCAATTTGGAAACTGCTCTCCTTCCCTCCGGCCGTGAGCCCGGAAATGTTGGAGACCTCTGGCCTGGGGGTCAGATAAGAGCCGGCATAGCCTACAGCTGCATAACGGGTGGAGGAAGAAACCCAGAAAGGTCCCCCCCTAATTTATCATTCTCTTAAAAGAGATGTTGAAATCCACATGTCTTAAAGAGGCCAGCTTTGGAGATCCCTGATCTACAGCGTTAAAACGTTAAATATCACGATTAATTTACCAGGCGTCTGGAAGTTGAGGGCCACTAACTGGCTGCCACAGATCCACATCGGCAACGGGTCGTAGTTGGAGGAGTCGAGGCGCTGCCCCTTGGGGTACACACGGCTCAGTTGTCGCCGGTTGTACTGGAGAAATTTTTTCCCCTTGCTGCGATTGGCGTATTTCTCCGCCTTCGTCTCCGGGAAGGAAGACATGTCCCGGTAACAGGCTTTCTCCGTGCCGATCTCTGGAAAGGAAAACGGGTCAAGGAATCCGCTGCGGCTCAGTGCCACCCCTGCAGAGTGGGGAGGGGGAATACGGGAAGTCCTCCAGTTACGAGCCCAACAAAATTTTGGTTGCTAAGCGAGACAGCCACTGAGTTTTGCCTCATTTTACGACCTTTCTTCCCATAATTTGTTACGGGAACCACTGCAGTTGTCAAGCTAGTAACACAACCGTGAAGTGGTCCAGTCTCTTTTTAAAAACTGTGTCACTGACTTGACAACTGTGGTGATTCCCTTAACGACTGCGACAAGAAAGGTCATAAAACGGGGAAAGGCCAGCCTGTAGTGAAAAAGAAGTCGGGATGACAGGACACGGCAACTTACTCTCCTCGTCAAAAGGCACCGGGCGGCAATAAACGACCAGTTCTGAGAGCTCCAGGGCGATCTTCTTCCTCCGTTCCATGATCTTCCCTTCCTGCATCTGCACATGACACAGACAGATCCCAATCAGGAGACATCTGGAGACCATGTGTCCCACCCCTCCATACACAGGCGCACATAACAGAGCAAAGGGTTGGGACTGGACCTGATTGATTTGCCCTTGGCCTACAGCTGTCCTTTTGGAAATTGCTATGCCAGTGGACCTCATTGCAATGGGTTATTAATGTAAGTGATGTCGTGTGGTTATGCTTACTACGTTTCAAATTATTAGCAAAATAAACCTCTGAATCTTAAAGTAAGAATTATTGTTTTGTGCTGCTGTCTCTTGTCTTTTTCATTGGGATTTTCCACGACACCTATTAGTAGTTAGTCAATTCTTCTCCCAGAGGAGAAACCAAGAAGGATTTCACCACCTAAAGTCAAAGGATGGGCAGGTCTAGAAGGAACATCCAGAACTGCCTTGACCAAATTCTAAGGAGCTGGGCCAGACTCTGATAACAGGAGTAGTTTATATTTGGGGGCTTTTTTAGAGGGCAAGAACCCCGGTTGAAATATTTGGAGCTGATCTTCTTCCATGAGGCACCTTGGTCAACGGAGACAGAAAAAGCCATTTGTCCGAAATGGTATGGGGTTTTCTGCCTGAGCAGGGGGTTGGACTAGAAGACCTCCAAAGTCCCTTCCAACTCTAACATTCTGTTCTGTTCTATTATTATTGTATTGTATTGTATTGTATTGTATTGTATTGTATTGTATTGTATTGTAGTGTAGTGTAGTGTAGTGTATTGTATTCCATTCCATTCCATTTTTTCTATTCTATTCTATTCTGTTCTGTTCTGTTCTATTCCATATTTTCTATTCTACTCTACTCTACTCTACTACACTCTACTCCACTTCATTCCATTCCATTCCATTCATTATTGTATTGTATTTTATTATATTGTATTGTACTGTCCTGTATTGTACTCTACTTTGCTCCATTCCATTCCGTTCCACTCCACTCCACTCCACTCCATTCCACAGCCCTTGAGTGCATCCCAAGTGCCCTCCCGTCACCTCTGACCCCAGGACCAACTTTCCAAAAGTTGCAAGACTTCACAACTGCAACTAGCGCCTGGTGGAGCCCGCCTAAAACCTGAGCAACCCGGATCTCTGGCCAGAACCTCCCGTCGGGCGGAGACTCACCCTGGCGTCTGCGTTCTGCGTGACCTCCCGGATCTTGGCCACCCAGTCGTTCAGCTCCTCCAGAGAATCGGTGGCAACATCCAGCGACTGGGATGGGTGGGTCATCTGCTGAGAATGGATGGTGAAGACAAAGGGTTTGGGGCTCCTGGCGTCTTTGGAGATAACTACAAGGACATCAGAGGGGCGGCTTTACTGAAAGAGGCCCCCCCAATGCAGGACAGGGGTCGGGAGCATGCGGGGCGTGGAGAGAGGGTTGCGGCTCTCCCCAAAAAGGGGCACGACGACTTAAAAAGAACAATGATGGACTGGTTTGTTGCACAAAAATCACTGGTAGTCTTCAACAACAGCGACTCTGTCATCTGTCAGACTTACAACCAGTGGTAGGATTCAGCTGGTTCTCACCGGTTCAGGAGAACCGGTAGCTACATTTACCTGATTTTGGAGAACAGTCTGGCTACCGGAAGTCTAGTCTAGGCCTTGGAGGCCTGGAAGAGGCCTCCCGGGCCTAGAACAGCCCACCGGAAGTGCATGGATGCCACTTCTGGAAGTCCGTTCTAGGTCTCGGAGGCCTGGAGGAGGCCTCCCAGGTCTAAAACGGCCCATTGGAAGTGCGTGGGTGCCACTTCCGGAAGTCCGTTCTAGGCCTCAGAGGCCTGGAGGAGGCCTCCCAGGCCTAGAACAGCCCACCGGAAGTGCGTGGATGCCACTTCCAGAAGTCTGTTCTAGGCCTCGGAGACTTGGAGGAGGCCTCTCAGGCCTAGAACGGCCCATTGGAAGTGCATGGATGCCACTTCTGGAAGTCCGTTCAAGGCATCGGAGGCCCAGGCCCGCATTGAATAAGAGAACTGGTTGTTCAGATATTTGAATCCCACCACTGCTTACAATCATTTGTTTAGTGACCTGTTCAAAGTTACAACGACACTGAAAAAAAATGACTTATATCCGTTTTTCGCACTTACGACCGTTGCAGCATCCCCCGTGGTCACGTGAACAAAATTCAGACGCTTGGCAACTGGCACGTACGTATGACGGTTGCAGTGTCTTAAGAGTCACGGGATCCCCTTTTGCGACCTTCCGACAATGGAGAAGCCAGATTACAATTGAAGCCATGTTTTCCGTTGCTAAACAAGACAGTCGAGGGAGTTTTGACCCATTTCATGACCTATCTTGCCGCAGTTGTTAAGGTAGTAACACAGTTTTAAAAAAGAGACTGGACAGCCATGGGTGTGAAATGGTATAACATTTCCTACTTGAGCACGAGGTTGGACTAGAAGACCTCCAAGGGTCCCTTCCAACTCTGTTATTCTGTTATGTGAGATTGTTAAGAGAATCTGGCTTCCCCATTGACTTTGCATGACCTTGGACTGCTGCAACCGTCATAAATACGAGTCAGTTGCCAAGCATCCAAATTTTGATCACGTGACCCCAGGGATGCTGCAACGGTCATAAGTGTGAAAAACGGTCGCAAGTCCCTTTTTTTTGATACTGTGGTAACTCCAAGAGGTCACTAAACAAATGGTCGTGAGTTGCAAACTATCTAAAAATAAAATAATAAAATAATACATAAAATAAAATAAAAAGATAAAATAAATAAAATAAAAAGATAAAATAAATAAAATAATGCATAAAAATAAAATAAAAATAATAATGAAATAAAAAATAATAAAATAATAAAATAAAAAAGATAATAAAATAAAACAAAATACTAAAATAAAAATAAAATAACATAAAATAAATAGCATAAAATGAAATAAAATACTAAAATAAAATAAATAAAATACTAAATAAAATAAAACTAAATAAAATAAAATACTAAATAAAATAAAATATAAAATAAAATAAAAGTAAATAAAATAAAATGAATAAAGTACTAAAATAAAATAAAATACTAAAACAAAATACTAAAATAAAATAAAATATAAAATAAAATAAAAATAAAATACTAAATAAAATAAAATACTGAAAGAAAATAAAATACTAAAACAAAAATACTAAAATAAAGTAAAATAACAAAATGAAATAAAATAATATACTAACTAAAATAAAATAAAAATAAAATACTAAAATAAAATACTAAAATAAAATAAAATAAAATACTAAAATAAAATAAAAATAAAATAAAATAAAATAAAAATAAAATACTAAAATAAAATACTAAAATAAAATAAAATAAAATAAAATAAAATAATAAAATAAATAAAATAAATAAAATAAATAAAATAAAATAAAATAAAATAAAATAAATAAAAATAAAATAAAATAATAAAATAAAATAAAAATAAAATAAAAATAAAATAAAAATAAAATAAAAATAAAATAAAATAAAAATAAAATAATAGAGCAGGCTCCATAAAAATGGCGCCAGACCCCCAGGCCCTACAAAAGAGGCCCGGGTGCCCAAATGCCCTCCGTCGAGGTGCTCCCTTACTCACCGCCAGCCACGGAAGCTCGGCGCAAGACACTCACCCACGTGGCACGAGGGGACGTCAATGAACCCTTTCAGGAAATTGCCCAAAGGGCTGTTCTCCACGGACTGGGGGGGAGGCGGGGAGGGGGAAGAAAAGAGAAAAGGGGAGGGCAGAAAGGTTAAAAGGCAACAAAACGCCTGTCTACATTTTTAATAATGTCACTTCTGTTCATTGACTGCTCTGATAGTTTTTAAACCAGTGTGTTTTAAACCTGGGCAACCTTAATTAATTAATTAATATCTTTATTGCCATTGCAAGTGCATGCAATATACACATACAACGAAATTTACTTGACACCAAAGACCAAGTCCCCCACACATAATCCCCAAACACACTCCCACCCCCCCACAATTCCCCACCCCTAAAACCACCCAAACATCCACGCAACAGACCAAGTAATACTGTCCAACAGTTCACCAATGGTGGCCCTTTAGTTCGTTGTTGAGTGTAATTACAGCTCTGGGATAAAAACTATTCAGAAAACGTGTGGTCCGAGTTTTGGGAGTTGAAGTCCACACTGTGGAATCAAATTCACTATGCAAAAACCAACAATCAAGCAAGGTTCGTTGCAGTCATTAATTTATTCAGCCTTCACTGGAGGAATTCTCTCCGGAAAATACTGAGACTCGTAAAAATAAACAGATGTGCTCAAATTTATTCATTTCCGGAAAAGTGGAGAAAATAAACCGTTTTAACAGATGATGTAAGCAACATCAACTGTTCTTATTTTCAAGAAAGAGTTATTGGCTTAATCCAGGCAGACCTTGACTTACCACATTTCGTTTAGTGACCGTTCAAAGTTAAAATAGCACTGGGAAAAAAGGGACGTTTTTCAGACTTACGACCGTCGCACCCTCCCCATAGGTCACAGAATCAAAATTCAGGCGCTTGGCAACTGACTGGTACTTATAACGGTTGCAGCGTCTCGGGGTCACATGATCCCCTTTGGCAACCTTCCGTCAAACGAGGTGAAGCCAGATTCGCTTTACAACCTGAACTGCAGTGATTCACTTAACAACTATGGCAAGAAAGGTCGCAAAAAGGAGCAAAATTCACTTAACTGTCTCGTTTAGCGACAGAAATTTGGGGCTTAATTATACTGCCTGTCTCTGAACTCCCTTCTCAAACAAAAATGGATGTGCGGTTCTTCGGTTCTTCTAGATGGGGTGGGTGGAGTTCCACCCTCCTAGAGGGAAAGGGCGATGGGAAGCTAGCCAGGATCAAGCCAACATGGCTTGTCTACCCTACATTCTCCATAGCTTGGAAAACTCACCGCTTCGTCCTGCTCCGGCACGGAGGCACTCAGGATCTCCTCCACGTAGTTAGCCGGGAACCAGAGCTGCTTCTTCCCGCCGTAATCGCCTCGCCACCTGGCACGGAGAAGAAACGGAGTTGGGGATTGCGACAACGCAATACACAATGGCACAAAGCAAAACAGGAAAGGCAACAACACGTTCCTTCCCGTCGCAGCCTCTGGTGTGCACCTGTAAAGGTATTCCTCCACCTTTGGGATTTGGACCGCGGAGCAAGGTGATGCTTAAGGGAGTCGTGCCTGATTTTACGACCAGTTTCCGCCATGGCCGTTAAATGAATCACGGCGGTTGTGAAGTGAGTTGTGACGCTGTTAAGCAAATACAACTTCCCCTATTTCAGAAGCCGGCGGAGAAGGTCACAACTGGCGACTGCACAAACCCAGGACACTACGACAATTGTAAACATGCGCCAGTTGCCAAGCGCCCGGATTTATATCACGAGAAGGTGAGGATGCAGCGACGATTCTAACTACGAATGCTGGTTATTACTCTTTTTTTTTTCCAGTGCTATTGCAACGTAGAACAGTCGCTACCTGAACACTTATAAGTCAAGGACTATCTGTAATGTAGAGGTGTCCAACCCACTACCGGGCCGCATGAGTAGCTGGGCAGTGCACATGCGTGTGCGCATGCTCAACCCCCCCCTTGTGCCACTGTTGCCGCAAATGTGCGGGCAGCAGCCGCGTCACTAGTAATGCACGGAGGGCGGAAGCGCCACAAGCGCCAGGTGGACCATGGTGTGATCCTCGCGTGGGGGTGGCAGCATGATCCTTGCGCCGGGGGTGGCATTGCTGCAGGCCACAGCACGATCCTCGCACTGGTGGTAGCATCGCCGCGAGCCTGGAGGCGGTGGCACAAGGCGCCATTGTCATTGAGAGCCTCACGTGCATGCTCGCAGCCCTATCCACATGGTGCATATGCTCGCAGCCTGTTTGTATGTGCGCACGCATATGTGGCATCGCCGCAAGCCTGGAGGCGGTGGCACCACAAGCCTCACATAGGCGCCAATGTCGCTGAGAGCCCCACGCGCATGCTCGCAACCCCATCTGCGTGGTGCGCATGCTCGCAGCCTGTTTGTACGTGTACATGCACATGTGGCTAGCATCGCCGCAAGCCTGGAGGCGGTGGCACCACAAGCCTCACACAGGTGCCACTGTCGCTGAGAGCCTCCTGCGCATGCTCACAGCCCCATCTGCGTGGTGTGCATGCTCGCAGCCTGTTTGTACGTGCGCATGCACATGTGGCTGGCATCACCGCAAGCCTGGAGGCAGTGGCACAAGCCTCACACAGGCACCACTGTCACTGAGAACCTAACGCGCATGCTCGCAGCATGTTTGTACGTGCGCACGCACATGTGGCCACATTCACATTTGCGCATGCGCGCGTAAGGCACCTGCTCCTCCCTCTCCCACCGGGCCGCCAACACAAAAAGGTGGGAGACCCCTGCTGTAATGGGCCTTCCATTAAGGCAGAGGTGGGGGAATTACGGCCCCTTTAAGACTCGTGGACATCAACTCCCAGCATGGCTGACTCAGGAATTCTGGGAGTTGAAGTCCACAAGTCCTAAAGGGGCCGTACCATCTTTAAATTAAGGGAGGCCACCCTTGTCATCTCTTCCGAAACCCTGGAGGTCTTTAAGAAGAGACTGGACAGCCCTTGGTCTGCAATGGGATAGGTAGGGTTTCCTGCCTGAGCAGGGGGTTGGACTAGATGACCTCCGAGGTATCCCTCCAACTCTGTTCTTCTGTTACATTTGGGGGCCGTTTCTCCCTGAGCTGAGATTCCTGGCTAGTTCGGACCAGTCTAGCCAAGGAGACTTGAAGTTCTTCCTCTCTCCTAATTCATCTGGGACTCACCATCCGCCGTCCTGCTTGTCCACGTTGTGGATGATGGCTTGTTTGCAGAAGGACAGTTCGTCTTCTCGCTGGGCTTTGTAGTCGTACAAGGCCTTTACGGTACACTGCAAAGAGAAAAAAAGTCGGTCCCGGTAGTCTTCCATTTACAACCACCCTTGACCCAAGAATAATTTATGTTGCTAAGGGAGACATTTGTTCAGGGAGTTTTGCCCCGCTTTACGGCTTTTCTTACTGCGGTCCTAAACCGAATCCCTGCGGTTTGTTAAGTCAGTCTACACGGTTGTTAAGTGAATCTGGGTTCCCCACGGATCCTGCTGGTCGGGAGGTCGCCAGTGGGGATCACATGTTCCCCCGGGACATTGCGACCGTCATAAATGTGAGTCAGTTGTCAAGACTCTGAGTGCGAATTGCACGCTGCAAAGGTCGCACGTTTGAAAAAATGGTCCTAACTCACTGAAAAAAGGGACTCGGGACCAATTTTCACACTTGCGACCGTCGCAGCCTCCCTGCGGTCGTGTGATCAAAATCCAGAGGCTGTCTTGGTTTTTTTCCCCCCTTGAAAAGCTTTCGCTTCTCATCCAAGAAGCTTCTTCAGTTCTTCATGAACGGAAAAAGCTTCTTGAGGTGAGAAGCGAAACGTTTTCAAGGAAAAAAAAGCAAAGAAAGTCCAGTTTGCCTTTAGGAAAAGGCACCTTGGGGGGAAAGTGGCTATATCTATTCTTAGGATTGCAATAAGCAAAGTGTAGAAATAACCCCCAGTCTCGCCCACTTACTCTGGCCACCGGCATCTTGTTGGCCTCCACGTAAAAGTGAGGACTCCTCACCTCGTACAGCGCCCCATAATCCAGTTCCTGTCAGGAAAGAAAGAGATTCGTGACTAGAACACGTGGCCCCATTTTTTAAAAGAAGGGTTTTCCCATTCTAGGGACTTTTAAGACTTGTGGACTTCAACTCCCAGAATTCCCCAGCCAGCTGTGAATTCTGGGACACGAAGTCCACCCATCCTGAGGGTGGCTGAGATTGAGCCACACTGCTCCACCCCATTGCTAAGGACCCCCAACATGGAAGAAGACCCCCAATACACAGGGAGATAAAAATCCTTTAAGAGGAGTGGACTTCAACTCCCAGAATTCCTCAGCCAGGCACGCTGGCTGAGGAATTCTGGGAGTTGAAGTCCACTCCTATAATAGGGGTCTTCAAACTTGGCCCTTTTATGACTTGTGGACTTCAACTCCCAGAATTCCTCAGCCAACATGCCTGCCTGAGGAATTCTGGGAGTTGAAATCCACAAGTCATCAAAGGGCCAAGTTTGAAGACCCCTGAGTTAGTGACTAAAAGCTTAAAGCAGGAGTCTTCAAACTTGGCAACTTTAAGACTTGTGGACTTCAACTCCCAGAATTCCTCAGCCAGCCATGTTGGGTGAGGAATTCTGGGAGTTGAAGTCCACAAGTCATAAAAGGGCCAAGTTTGAAGGCCCCTGGACTAGTGCATCAAGTAAAAAATTAGGCCAGACTGAAAATAAATTCTCACTCCTTCTGCAAACTACTCTCTGCTGTGTGTTCTTGTTGTTACTACTCTACTGCTATTTCTCTAACGCCTCCATTAGGCCGAGCCAGTTAGAAAATAATTTCTAAATGAGAAAGAGGCAGATCTATATGATGGGGTTTTAGGATTTCATCCTGTCTGTGCAGACCTAATCAGAAATAACAACACTCCAGGCAGGTAGTCCAATCTCTTGCTGATTCACTGCTCAGCCTCTGTATTTATTCCAGCAGAAATAAATTTAATGCTGGGTTTGGGGGGAAATCAGGGAGGATTGGGCCTTCCTTCCTTTTCCCTTCCTTCTTTCTTTCCTTTCTTTTCTCTCCTTCCTTCTCCCTTCCTTCCTTTTCTTTCCTCCTTCCTTTCCTTCCTTCCGTTTCTCTTTCCTTCCTTCCTTCTTTCCTTTTTCTCTCCATCCTTCTCCATTCCATCCTTCCTCCCCTTCCTTTTTCTCTTTCTTCTCCCTTCCTTCCTATTCTTTCCTCTCCTTCCTTCTTTCCTTCCTTTTCTCTCCTTTCCTTCCTTCCTTCTTTCCTTTTTCTCTCCATCCTTCTCCATCCCTTCCTTCTTTCCTTCCTTTTCTCTCCATTCCTTCCTTCCTTCTCTCCTCTTTCCTTCCTTCCTTTTCCTTTCCTTCCTTCTTTCCTTTTTCTCTCCATCCATCCATTCCTTCCTTCCTCCCCCTTCTTTCTTTTCTCTCCTTCCTTTTCCCTTCCTTCCTTCTCTTCTTTTTTTCTTCTTCCTTCTCCCTTCCTTCCTTCTCTTCCTTCTTTTTTTCTTCTTCCTTCTCCCTTCCTTCCTTCCTTCCCTCTCCTTTCCTTCCTTCCTTCCTTCCTTTTCCCTTCCTTCCTTTCTTTTCTCTCCTTCCTTCTCCCTCCCTCTACTTTTTTGTGTGAAAAGAACAGATCGGGCTGGCAGAAAAGGGAAGCCGTGCTGGCTGGGGAAAGCCGGGCGTTGAAGTCCAGGCGTCTTAAAGTGGCCCAGGGGGGGCCGGGCAGAGGGACCCCTCACCGCCGTGCCCATCCTCTCCAAGGTCTCCTCGTTGATGGGGTACCGCAGCTTCATCTTGCGGTAGAGCGGGTGCTTCTCGTAGTAGCTGACCAGGTCAAGCAGGCTCTCGAATTCGGCCGAGCTGCCCAGCGTGAAAAGCCGCCCTTCCTGCTGGACCCGGCAGTGCTTGATCTTCCCCTCGGCCCTGCGGGGGAAAGAAGGCCGAGAGAGGGTCCGCAGACCAGGTTAGGTCAAGGAGAGGAGCAGGGAAAGGGTCCCGCCCTTTGGGACACAAACAGGCTAATTGTGGAAACTCGGCGTTGCGGTCGGAGGGGTGTCGAAACGGAAATTTGATCGTGTTTCCCTGTCCCTCCTTCTTATGACAAAGAGAATCAAGGTGAGGGAATCTTTAGGCTCTTCCTCACCCTCTCCCGTCTATTTATTTATACCCGGCCTTTATTATTTTTACACACAGTCTAAGGCGGCAAACATATCCAGCACAACTCCCTCCTCCGATTTTCCCCACAACCACCACCCTGTGAGGTGGGTTGGGCGGAGAGAGAGGGACTAGCCCAAAGTTACACAGTTAGTTTTCATGCCTAAGGTGGGACTAGAACTCACAGTCGCCTGGCGGTTGGCCCGAAGTCACCCTTCCACCTTTCATGGCTAAAGTAGGACTAGAACTCACAGTCTCCTGGTGGTTGGTCCAAAGTCACCCAGCTGGCTTTCATGCCTAAGGCGGGACTAGAACTCACACTCGCCTGGTGGTTGGTCCAAAGACACCGTGCCATCTTTCATGGCTAAAGTAGGACTAGAACTCACAGTCGCCTTGTGGTTGGCCCAAAGTCACCCAGCTGGCTTTCATGCCTAAGACGGGACTAGAACTCACAGTCGCCCGGTGGTTGGTCCAAAGACACCCTGCCACCTTTCGTGGCTAAAGTAGGACTAGAACTCACAGTTGCCTGCTGGTTGGTCCAAAGTCACCCAGCTGGCTTTCATGCCTAAGGCAGGACTAGAACTCACAGTCGCCTGGTGGTTGGTCCAAAGACACCGTGCCATCTTTCATGGCTAAAGTAGGACTAGAACTCACAGTCGCCTGGTAGGTGGTCCAAAGTCACCCAGCTGGCTTTCATGCCTAAGACGGGACTAGAACTCACAGTCACCTGGTGGTTGGTCCAAAGACACCCAGCTGGCTTTCATGCCTAAGGCGGGATTAGAACTCACAGTCGCCTGATGGTTCGCCCAAAGTCACCCAGCTGGCTTTCATGCCTAAGGTAGGACTAGAACTCACATTTGCCTGGTGATTGATCATGGGGAATGCCGTAAGTGTGAAAAATGGTGGTAAGTCCCTTTTTTTCCAGTGCCGTTGTAACTTCGGAGGGTCACTAAACAAATTGTTTACAAGCCTGCTATGTAGCCCTGGGTCTTTGGGGCAGCTGGCCACACTCACCGAAAGGAGATGGCGTAGGAGTTGGCCTCGCTTCGCTTGCGCACCAGGAAGGCGCCGTCCCTGGGCACCCGCATCAGCATGTGCTCGGCCTGCAGGCGGGTGAGGTTGGCATGGTACCACCTGGGAGGAGAGAAGAGGCGCCAATTCAGACACACACACACACATACACACAAGACCGAAGGGTGAAGGTCTCACAGATCTGCTAGGAAAGGCTCTCCACCAACGATCCAGACTCTGCCCCATTTTATTAAAAAATAGCAATAGCACTTAGACCAGGGGCCCTGAAACTTGGCCCTTTTATGACTGGTGGACTTCAACTCCCAGAATTCCTCAGTCGGCCATTTTGATGAAACTGCGGGCTTGGATCCAGACCGGGGGTCTTGAAACTTGGCCCTTTCATGACTCGTGGACTTCAACTCCCAGAATTCCTCAGCCAGGCATGCTGGCTGAGGAATTCTGGGAGTTGAAGTCCACTCCTCTTAAAGTCTATATCAGGGGTCTTCAAACTTGGCCCTTTCATGACTCGTGGACTTCAACTCCCAGAATTCCTCTGCCAGCATGGGGGAACTGTGGCCCCTTCATGACTTGTGGACTTCAACTCCCAGGCATGCTGGCTGAGGAATTCTGGGAGTTGAAGTCCACAAGTCATAAAAGGGCCAAGTTTGAAGACCCCTAACGTAGACTTATATACCGCTTCACAGCTCTCTCTCTAAGCCATAGGTCTCCAATCTTTCTTGATTGACAGGCCGGACGGAAATGGAGAGGGAAGCATTTCACAGGGTGAGGTGTACGTGCACAAAGAGGCCCGCGAGCACGGGTGTCACAAACGGGGCACTGCTAGCACCCGCGTGACACTCGCTAACACCCCCGTTTTCGCCGCGCGGTGCTGTTTGCGTCGCGGCGGCGGCGCTAGCGTGAGTGGGAGGGTGAGTCTACGCACACACGTATGTCCGTGCACTGGCCAGCCTCTTCCGTGGCCAGCACACCGTGGCCCGATAGTGGGCCCGATAGTGGGCCATGGCCCACAGGTTGGGGACCCCGGCTCTAAGCGGTTTACAGAGTCAGCCTGTTGCCCCCCAACAATCTGGATCCTCATTTTACCGATCTCGGAAGGACACACTCGTCAAGATTGAACTGGATGAAGGGGAGGGGAAGGAGAGGGAAGGGGAGGGGAGGGCAAAGGAAGGGGAGGGAAGCCCTGGCTCCTCACTCCTTGCTCTCGTGAGCGTTGGGCTGAGGCACCGGATCGGTCAGGCGCATCTCGAACTCGTTGCAGCGCAGCGGAACCTCACGGTAATGGCAGATGAGGCTGTAGAGGCTGTCGAAAACCAGGTTGTCGGTCAGGTAGAACTTGGTAGCGCCGGCTTCTTGCCGGGAGTGGATGCGGCAATGTTGGACCCGGCTGGAACGCCTGTAAAAAAAACGGCGGCGGAGATGAAAAGGAGGGATTCCAATGTCCCAAATTTCCACATTTTCCTACCTTGCGGTTACAACAGTTTGTTTGGCGACTGAAATGACAACGGCACTGGAAAACGTGACTTAGGACCATTTTTCATACTTGCTCCTTCCAGTTGTGTGAAGCCCTGCCCCATTTTGCATCCCTCAGCCCCCCCCACCCCTAGAATTAACCACTGCCCTGGGTTAGCAAATCGCTGCTGCTGCTGCTGCTGCTGCTGCTGCTGCTGCTTCTTCTTCTTCTTCTTCTTCTTCTTCTTCTTCTTCTTCTTCTTCTCCTTCTCCTCCTCCTCCTCCTCCTCCTCCTCCTCCTCCTCCTCCTCTTCTTCTTCTTCTTCTTCTTCTTCCTTCTTCTTTTTCTTCTTCTTCTTCTTCTTCTTCTTCTTCCTCTTCTTCTTTTTCTTCTTCTTCTCTTCCTCCTTCTCCTTCTTCTTCTTGTAGTAGTAGTAGTAATAGTAGTAGTAGTAGTAGTAGTAGTAGTAGTAGTAATAATAATAATAATAATAATAATAATAATAATAATAATAATAATAATAATAATAATAATAAAGTTGGAAGGGACCTTGGAGGTCATCTAGTCCAACCCCCTGCTCAGGCAGGAAACCCTACACCATTTCAGACAAATGGCTGTCCAGTCTCTCCTTAAAAACTTCCAGTGTTGGCGTATTCACCGCTTCTGGAGGCAGGTTGTTCCACTGGTTAATTGTTCTGACGGTCAGGATATTTCTCCTTAATTCTAGATTGCTTCTCTCCTTGATCAGTTTCCCTCCGTTGCTTCTTGTCCTGCCTTCAGGCGCTTAGGAGAATAGCTTGACTCCCTCTTCTTTGGGGCAGCCCCTGAGATACTGGAAGACTGCTATCCTGTCCCCCCTCGTCCTTCTCTTCATTAAACTAGACATACCCAATTCCAGCAACCGTTCCTTATATGTTTTAGTCTCCAGTCCCCTAATCATCTCTGTTGCTCTTCTCTGTACTCTTTCTAGAGTCTCAACATCTTTTTTACATCGCGGTGACCAAAACTGGATGCCGTATTCCAAGTGTGGCCTTACCAAGGCCTTGTAAAGTGGTATTAACACTTCACGTGATCTTGATTCTATCCCTCTGTTAATGCAGCCTAGCACTGTGTTGGCCTTTTTGGCAGCTGCAGCACACGGCTGGCTCATATCTAAGTGATTGTCCACTAGGACTCTGAGGTCCCTCTCACAGTTACTACTATTGAGCAAGGTACCCCCTATACTATACCTGTACATTTGGTTTTTCTTGCCTAAATGTAGAACATGACTTTTTTCACCATTGAATTTCATTTTGTTAGATAGCGCCCAGTGTTCAAGTCTGTCGAGATCCTCCTGTATCTTAAATGTTATTCAATTCGACTCAACCGCTTAGCATCCCCGGTCTTGACGGTCCACGATTTTTGGGGTGTCTTACCAGAAAGAGAGGGTGTAGTCGCCCACAAAAGTCTCGCTCTCCCGGACCAGGAAAGTGCCGTCTTTGCCCCCGGTTTCGGTGCAGTATTCGTGCAGCAGCCGCTCGGCAATCTGGCGCCCGTCGCGGCCCCCGCCCAATTTGCCGTGGAACCACTTCTCGCTAAAGTGCAGCTCGTTGTTGTTAATCTCCTACGGAACCGCCCGAGACAGGATGGAGCAGGAGAGGAGAAGGGACAGGCGGGATTAAAAGGGGGAGGGAGGAAGCAGGAGAGACAGAAAACAGCGGTCGTCAATGAGACGCAGCATCTTCCTGACAGCTGTTCAAACTATGGCTAGTCCTTGGCTTACGAGAGTTTGTTTAGTGACGGTTCGAAGTTACAACGGGACTGAAAAAAGAAACGGATGACTGTTTTTCAGACTTTGGACTGTGGTCACCTGATTTACATTTGGATGCTTGAAAAGTGAATCATATTTACGGCGGTTGCAGTGCAGAGCATCAAGGGCTCCATAGTCCTTCCTCTTCCTCCTCCTTCCCCCCTTTCTCCTTATCTCCACTCCAAACACCCTCTCCCTTCTAGCACTGATGATGTTCCCTAGTTGGGTCATGAAACGTCTGCAAGAAAGCAGCCAAGCTCAGAGAGCACCAGGGACCCCCCAGTCCTTTCCTCCTCCTCCTCCTCCTCCTCCTCCTCC